TTTTTTTTTTTTTTTTTTTTTTTTTTTTTGCCTGCAGGTGTACGAGCTCACCATATTCGAGGAGGAGGACGACGACGACTCGTTTGACGAAGACACCGAGATCACCGAAGCTGTGAGTACCAGATGAAGTCAACGAGATTGTTGCACCGGACTCGCCTGATTTTGGCTGGCGTCGTCAGGACTACTGGAGCTGCGAGGGCTGCAAGGAGTCCAACCCACCTCTCACGAGGAACTGCCTGCGCTGCTGGCGCCTGCGCCGGGATTGGCTGCACAGCGCCTCGCTGCCAGCCCAACCCGCGGCTTGCGTCGACGCTCCGGGTCAGTTCGACGACATCCGTCCTCCCGTCGGCTGGCCCGCGGTCACGACGACGGCAGGAACGTGAGCCGCGTGTATTCACTGGCATGGTTTGTGTCCTCCTCTCCGCGAAGCTTTGGACGCCGAGGACGGCGTGGATGTTCCGGACGGCAAAACGGCTGTTTCCTCCTCGGCTCCCGAGTCGCAGGAGTCGCAGGAGCCGCCGGCCTCGCGGCCGCCCTCGTCCTGCAGCTCGTCCTCGCAGGAGAAGTTGTGGACGTGCGACTCGCAGCCGTCGTCGCTCGCCAACTCCCAGGAGACGGTGGGCACGCCCGAGCTGGAGCGCAGCGTGTCGGCCGAGATGCGGCTGCCCGAGTCGTGCCTGGAGCCGTGTCTCATCTGCCAGTCGCGGCCCAAGAACGGCTGCATCGTCCACGGCAAGACGGGACACCTCATGACGTGCTACGTGTGCGCCCGCAAGCTGAAGAAGCACAACAAGCTGTGTCCCGTGTGTCGGCTGCCCATCCAAGCCGTCGTCTTCACCTACTTCAGCTGAGACACGCGTCTCTCCTCCCTCCCGCGCGCGTTATTCAGCCTACCTCAGCTGAGATGTGCCACTCGCCTTAGAGACATCTTTATTTATTCATTTCGGCACACACACACTTTGTTGTTGGAAGAGTAAGGTTGAAACGATTATTCTATTGCTGAGATTTCTAACGTTATTTAAAGTTGCTGTTTAAAAAAAAAGGGTGTTGCTTACACTGTGCTCGTGCTCATCATTTACTAACCTGTGCTGTTAGTTTGCACACAATCGAGCTTCTTATCAGTCAATGCATTTTGAATGATCTGCTCGAAAACGTATTCTTCGTAATTCTCCAAAAGTGCTACACGAGCGCCCTCTTGTGGTACGCCAAGAAATCTGACGTGTTGAAAACGACGGTGGCTGTCACTTCATTTTGTTGAATCCCTTCGAGTACAGTTGCTTGTATTGCACCGTGAAATGCAAAACATTTTCATCCGATCATCGACATTTTGTGTAAAAAAAAATTAACGTGTTGCATTTTGATTTAACTTCTGTGCAATAGATTTTAAATGAATTGTTTGAATCAAGTTATCCCGCATTTGATTGCAGTGCTATCGTTCAAACTGAAAAATTTTACATTGTGACAGCTCAGGATTATGAATGGACATTAAATGATTTTTAATAGGTCAACATCAGGTTCAGAGGCTTTTTTAATTTTTTTTTTCCTGTTCCAGTGACATCCTAAATATGAATCGTGTACTTGTGACGCAGCGGTGAGCGTTTTCTCATCTCCTGTATTGCTGTCGCCGTTGAACTCGCGCTTGCCATCTTTCCGAAGAAGCGAACGGAGGGATGAAGAGTGCGCCCGTGCGTACACAGCAAGTGACGGCGACTGGTCTCAAGTCTCATGTGAGAAACATTTTTATTTCATTGGCGGTTTCCAGGATTTGGTCCCCACAAGTCCTTTACTGCTCTGCTGCTTTGGGCTTCTCAAAAGTCTTGTATTGTGCCCATTTGGTCCATCCAAACGCTTTTATTCCCAAAACGAGTCAGGGGGCAAAGTGTATTTGGCCCCCGACATGATAAGAGGAAAGAAACGGAAATTCTGGCACACAACATACACATTTGTGCTAAATACTACATCGCGGCCAGAAAATACTGTTTTGGGGGTCACGAAAAATGGTGTAAGGTGTGCATGAAAAACTAACATGACTCCCACAGCCCGCAAAGTCATATCTGAGGCCGCGCTCTTGAACGGTGACACGTCCGTACCGTTTTCTTCTTCTTTTTCACATTCAAGTCGCTTCCACAACCTCAAAATAAAATCGACTTACGCAAAACAAGTCACAAACACATTCCGGACCAAGTCTCTAGCTGCTCTTTTCAAGGCACTCCACGGTGTCTGAAACAAACATTCAGGTCAAATAAATGAAGCCCAAGGAGCTGCAGAATATGATGTGGGGGGGGGGGGGGGGGGGGATCAAAACCAAAACATTTTGCAGCCACAAACGAGCATTTACGTTTTTTTCCCCGAATGGCTTTAGTCCGAGGCTCCGTTTAAGTCTGCTGTGACAAGCCGTCAAATATAAGCCACTAAACGTGTCTGAATATCAGAACCCAAGCTTCACATTTCCAAGTTCAAAAAAAGAGCTAATAAAGTACCACAGAGCGGCTTCTTATAAAATGAGCAAATAGTGCACGTGGGAAAAAAAAGAGCACGATTCAGTCTTTCGTCAACAGATCCTACAGAAAGAGAACGCTCTTGTTTGTTTTCAAGCTGACAGGATCTTTTGACTTGGCGGGTTAGTCATCTCCTTCCCGTGACTTATTGTGAAGGCGCCTCGCACACAGGAAGTGGAACGTGTCGAAAAAAATAAACTGGCGCGGGCCTCTCATTGGTCCAGTGGTGTAAAAAAAAAAAGGGGGCGGGGTCTTCATCGTTTTTTCCTTCTTCTGGTTTGGTCCAATTCAAGTCAGTTTTGCAACTGTGTTGTTGTGTGCCTCAGAGATCCGTGACTTTGTTCTCCAGGGCGGCGGCGATCTGCTGCAGCCTCAGCGTCAGCTGTCGGTTCTGGGCGGCCGGGTCTTCGTCCAGGGACTGAATGATCTGGGAAAAGTCGGGCGGAGAATCAAATGAATCATCTGCGAGCTCATGCTTTCCGAATGGCTGGACGAGCGCAGTTTGCGGAGGAACTTCTCACCGCGTCGTAGTATTTGCTGGCGTACTGGTACAGCTGATGCAAGGCCAGCTGCGTGTTCAGCTCGTCCGTGTGTTGCTGCACGCGCACGCACAGACACACACATGCACACACACACAGAGTGGCGTCAAAACTTTAACTCGCGCTCACACGCTCACGCGTATGCACATACCCTGGACACCTCGGCAAGGTACGTGTTCATGTCCTGGTCGCTGACGGAAACCATCTGTCTGATTCCTTTGTAGTAACTGCGCAAGACAAAGGTGGGTGGGCGGGCGTGACGTGGGGTGCCTTTGACGTCATTTTGCGCGCGTGAGCGAGAGACTTACTCGTCCACCATCTTCTTGTAGGTGGAGATCTCCTTGGCGTAGAGCAACTTGTTGCTGGGCGACTCCTACAGGGACACGGAAGACGCCGATTGGCTTTCGAGTGGACACCGCCGAGTTACGCGGACGAGGCGGAGCGGACACGCGTACCCGGCTGAGCTTGTGCTCCGTCTTGGTGCAGGCGTCCATGAAGGTCTGGGCGATGACGTGCAGCGAGGCGTCCACCACCTCATTCACGTGCACGTCAAAGATGAAGTGAGGGTTGCGCAAGATGTTCACCCAAAAGCGCAGCGGCAAGCTGAGGGCGAGGCCGGCGGCGTCAAACGCCAGTTCGTGGCGGAGGTCTGGTCACGCGCGGCGGGCCGGCGTTCGCACCTGTTGGTCTTCCAGATGTGCAGCGTCTCCTCGTCCACGTTGTCGTGCCGCAGCGCCTGCTCGTCCAGGAAGTCGAAGAAGTACTTGACGGCGGGTGGGACGGCGGCGCTGGAGCACAGGACGCTGCGGAAGAAGTCATCCACGAACTGCTGCAGCGTGCCCTGCAAACACGCGGCGCGAGCGGTCCCTCTCACATTTGGCACTCTATGTCAGCACGAAGCGAGCAGCACTCTCCTGTTCGCCGGTGAGGTTTGTGGGCGGCAATATGGGCGTCGCACCTTCACGGAGAGCAGGCGTGTCAGGTAAATCTCGGTGATGGCTTTGGTTTTGTCCTTGACGCTGCCTCGCTTGGACTTCACCTCGTCCAGCTCGTCGGCCGCTCGCACCAGGTGGAAGGTGTTGTCGTCCTCCAGCAGGGCGTTGCCTGATGCAGGGAGCACACCATTCTCGTCCGCAATCCGGACCTAAGGTACGTACATACGCGGGCGCCGGCGAATGCTTACGCTCTTCATGGTTGTCCGGGTGCTGGTGGAAGGACCGAGCGTGCAACACTTTGGAGAGAACTAGCGTGGCGTTGTCCCGTACCTGCAAGGACGGCGTGATGTCATCACCTGATCGTTAAGACCTCAGCATTCCCATTCTTACATTGTAATGCGCCAAAGTGTTGAGTCTCTTCCAGCGTCCTTCCTTCTGTGAAGTCAGGTCCAGGTCGGACAGAATCTGACCCGTGGAGCCGGGACGCCACTCTGGACCAATAGCAAAAAAAAAAATAGCCATCACCTATCCATCAATCAACCAATCAATCACGAATCACTGCGAGTGTGCGTTGGCTACCGAGCGCCACACTCTCCACTTTTGGCCGCTGCGAGTAGGGAAGATTCCTGTAGACTTGATCAATGATCTTCTCCTTCACCTACACGGCGGGACAAGCAATAGAAGTCAATCGATCAAACATCAAAAGGGAATTAAAATCAAATCTGATCCGGACTAAAATTGACTCGAGAAGGCCTCACCTGAGAAATAGTGTCACAGTTGAGCACCTTGACGGGCGTCACGTCCGGGCCTTCCCCGTGCACCAACACCTGCAGCGTCTATCGCACACACAACATGGCAGAAAGACGACAACTTCTTCCGAATCTGCGACTTGTATGTGCATTTTTTTGTCCACTGACCAGTACGGAATACTCCACGTCATCCCCCAGCAGCCCCGTGTCGTTGAGCGTGTATTTGGCCTTCTTGACCTTGGCGTCCACGGGACCTTTCTCCACCTGATGCTTCAGCGCCTTGAACAGCTTATACAGCGGCTCGCCGGCGCTGTCCTGCGACACAGACGGTAAACGCACGCCGGGGACAGACCTTCAAAAGTGTGCACACCCCCTCGCGTCTTTTGTACGGATTGCATTGTGTATCCTTGTGATGGGCGACGCTGATGAAATGACATTTGGTTTGAGGAAACGCATGGGGGGGTGCTCACTTTTGTGAGACGGTGCAAACATAAAGCATGGATGTGTGCGTGTGCGCGCGTGCGAGAGCGCTTCACCCTGAGAAACTGGTAGAGGCAGATGGACATCCAGTTACACAGCATCCTTTCCACCACCGTCTCAGACCTGCGGGAGCGCACGGCACCGTTTGTTTTGTCGCATCGTGGGAAAAATGACCAAAGAGCAACAAGTCAGTCGACGCGGCGGCGCTGGCCGACCTCCTGAGCATGAGCTTGGGGTTCTTGTTGTGCACGTGCTCATCCATGAGCTCCAGCAGGAGCGTCCTGGTGATGTCGGTGTAGTAGACCAGCTTGCCGTGCAGCGCCACCGTCAGGAGGGAGGCGAAATCGCCGCGGGCTCGCGCGTTGAAGTCGGGCCGCCTCTCCAGCGTGTGGATGAACTACGCGGACAAGGAGGAGATTTTAGGAGCCGGAGCAGATGTTCGTTGGGCTTTCGGAATCGGAAACGCCGCCCTCCGCGGCCAAAGCCTAGCTGTGAGCGGGACTAACGTTAATGAGGAAGGGCTTGCTGTTGAGCAGGTTGGAGAACTGGTTGAGGGCCTGCGCCACGATGGCCCTGCGGGACTCCGGCACGTGCACGCGTCCCGCCAGCACCGTGGCGGCGTCGGCGCCGTCCTTGGGGGGCAGGAAGAGGTTGCGCTCCGTGTACGTCTTGTAGTCCAGGAAGGGGATGCGCGCCTCGCTCGGCTCGCTTGTGTGGTCCTCCATCTCCATCATCAGGTCTGAACCGTCGGGGGAGGGGGGCAGAGACAA